GTGGGGGCCGGGACAGCTGCCTAAAGCCACACGCGCGAGCACACACGCTCACACGCGGGCGCACTCGCGCTTGGACCTGCAGCCCCCCACTCCCCGAGCAGCAAGAGTTGATAAAAGGCCGCGCGTCAAGGGTGTTCCCAGGGTCAAAGGGAAGGGAGCTTTTCTCCAGGTTCATCAATGACAGCTTCTTCCCCTTGCACAAGTGACTGCCGGCCTGCCCAGCTGTGGGCGGACTTTCCACTCGTGACTCAGGGGCAGCGCAGCCTCTCCCAACCTCTCTGGAGGAGTGTGGAGCTGTGGGACAAAGTCAAGAAGGAGCCCGGGCTTAGTGGTCCTCCCGTGTTGGGTACCTGCCCAGGTGGGTGACTTAATGAGGGTCAACTTCCTTTCCCTGAAGGGCAAGTCCATTCTTTCAACAACTTGACCACCCAATGGGAGATGGCCTCTTCATGTCTTTCAGAGGCTTTCCACACTTCAACTTGTGGGAAGCTCTCTCCACACATTTGCGCCACATGCTCACAGGAAAGGGTTATTGGTTTTGGTCTCACCTGTATCATCAGTACTGCACTGTGCCTTGGCACTGAAAAAAAAAAAAGATGTCCAGTGGATTCCAACTCATGACAGCTGACTCATGGCAACCCCGTGTGTGTCAGAATAGAACTGTGCTCCATAGGGTTTTCATGGCTGTGACCTTTTGGAAGCAGATTGCCAGGCCTTTCTTTTGAGACACCTCTGGGTGGGTTCGAACAACCAACCTTTGGGTTAGTAGCCCAGCACTTAACAGGTTCAGGGCTTAACTGTTTGCACTCAAGGACTCATGCCTTGGCACCTTGTAAGTACTTTAGAAAGATTTGTGGAATGAATGAATGCTTCCCATGGACTGACCTCTGAAGACGCCAAGAAGCCCTCACAGCCCCTCCCTCACCAGAGTTCCCTGACCAAAGGGAAAGGCAATAAAGAAAAGAGGGAGGTGGCGTTCCAAGTGCATCGGGCCACCATCTACCTCTCAGCTTGGATTAAAAGTTTGGAGTTGGCCTTTCCTGGGACCCCCAGGCATAGTGAGGAGTCACAGACAATGTGGAGGAGGATAAAGATGACTGAGACCGTGGACTCACCCCTTCTGATTCCTCAGGGCACTTTGGTAGATTTAAAACATGCCCACAGATTATTTGGCACTCTTCCCATATAAGGTGGAGTTGAATACCCATCTCGCCTTGTCCCTTCTGGCCTTAATGACCGGCTTGTAAAGATTAGAATGCAGCAGAAGTGACACTGAGTTCTGAGGAGAGGTCATCAAAGATGCTCACTCTTTCACCTGACTCTCTCTCCTTTACCTCGTGTCTTCTAAACACAGCCGCCATGCTGTGAGGAAGCCCAAACTACGCATGTAAAGAGATCACAGGGAGAGAGCTCTGTGGGAAGAAACTGAGGCCTCCCAGCCAACAGCCAATGTCAACCACTGAAATGTGAATGAATGAGCCTTCAGATGATTCGAGCTCCCCACCTTCAAGCCTCCCAACTGAGGACTAGCTGCCTCCGTTGTGCCCTGTCCGAACTCCTGACCCACAGAATCCCTGAGCAGAATAAACCGTTGTTTTACGCCACTGAACTTTGGGTAAAGTGTTACAGTGCTGTAGTAACTACAATAGCGTGCAAATCCCCAGAATTGAAGCAAATGCTTAAGCTTCTCTGTCCCCCTGTCCCCCTTCCACCCTGCCCAGCCCTTGAGTCCAAGTCAAGGGGCAGAAAGGAGTGAGGAGTGCAGGCCACGTCTTTCACAGTCATTTACCGCTCAGCAGGTCAAACGATTTGGAGAGGGCTTTTGGTGCAGTTTTTGTGCTTTGTAAATTAAAAAAAAAACAACAACAAAACACACAAAATCCAAGACCAGGACTATCTTCTGTTCCTACTGGGCTAGAATGTGTATGACCTCATTGTTATCTTTTTCCTTGAAATTAAAATATCCATCACATACAAATAAACAAATCCTTGTTTCGGGGGGTAGGTGGAGAATTAGAACATATACTAATCAGCTAAAAAGGAAAAGGGGGACGAGGAGGTTTCCTGGGTTTATAATTGTCTTCATTTTCTTCTGTGTCGTTGGGGGGCGTTGTCTCCCCCCATCTAGTCTCCCCATTTCCATCGTCTCCGATGAAAGGTCACGTGGTCAAAGGATGACTATGTGTTCCCTCTAAAGAGGACATTCATAAATGTCCTTCTCCTCCTCCGAAGCCCGCCAACATTCCTTCGTCTTCCTTCCTCTCTGCCATCAAACCTGCCCCTCACAGAAGTGATAGAGCTGCAGACTTCTGGGCCTCGGCCAAGTGCACGACTTGGTCGTTCTGTTTACTTTTCATCAACTTTTTCTGAGCCGGCAGATGTGGGCCTGTTACTTTGAGAATGTCCCTCTTCACTTAAAGTTTTGATTCAAACCCCAGCCATTGAGAATTTCGTGATTTACCTTGCAGAAGCATCCCCTCAAGTTGCCTCTTCATGGGCTTTAGGACTCTTTTGAAGACTATTTTCCCTTCAGTTTAGGGGATTTAAGTGAGAGTAACATAATACATTATGTAGTTTTCCATTATCCCAGGGTTTCTGCTTCCTGCCCACCCCAATCTTTGGAACCTCTGAGCTGGCTCAGAGACCAGATAATTAAGTGCTTTTTCCATATTGTCCAAGGACTAGCTGTACGTCACCCCACGAGCATGAGGTTCATTCTAAGAATCACTGTAGAAGGTACCCAGCCCCAACGTCCTTGCTTTAAAAATGACGCAGATTGTCTATAAACCTTCCAGTGAAATACAATTATTCCAGTGCAATCTTAACTTCAGCCCTACCAATTACCCATGCTCAAGGGGTAAAACAAATCAGGCTGATCCCCAAAAGAAATGTGGTAGCGAGTCTAACAAAAATTGTTCAAGAGGGCTCCAGAGTGTTTTCCTGTTTTCTGTTGTGGGCATTTGCTGCTGTTGTCAGCTTGGCATCCCATTCCTCCAGGCCTAGTAATGAGCCACATCCTCCTCCAGGCTTCTCCCCACTCTTGGCCCATGGGATCTGGGTGGGGTTCCAGGGCCTGGCTTCTGACTCACGCTTAACCAATTCAGAGTCTCACAGAGACTTTGTGGTGGGCAAAATAATGCCTCCCCTCCCCCCACAAAATGTCCACGTCCTAATCCCTGGGACCTGAGAATATGTTAGGTTACGTGGTGTTATGGATTGAATTGTGTCTCCCCAAAATATATGTTGTGTATCCTAACCGCTCTGTCTGTGGTTGGGAAACCCTGATGGTGTAGTGGTTAAGTGCTACGGCTGCTAACCAAATGGTCAGTAGTTTGAATCCACCAGGAGCTCCTTGGAAACTCCATGAGGCAGTTCTACTCTGTCCTATAGGGTCTCTATGAGCCAGAATTGACCCGACGGTAATGGGTTTGGTTTGGTTTACACCTGTGGTTATAATCCCAATTGGGAATGAGTTTTCTTTGTTATATTAATGAGTCAGTATTAGTGGAGGGTGTGTCTTAAATCTGTCTCCTTTGAGATATGAAAGAGCAGATGAAGCAAGCAAGCACAGACGGACGGCAAGAAATGAGCGCTCATTCAGAAACCATCTCTTGTGGTCCAGAAAGTATGTGGGGTTCTCTGAACCTCAAACAGCCTGTTATACAACTAAGTGTGCAAATCCATGCCAACCCAGACCCTCAACATCATTAGTTATTAAAAACCAAAACCAAACTCATTACCGTCAAACCGATTCTGACTCATAGTGACCCTATGGGACAGAGTAGAACTGCCCCATAGGGTTTCCAAGGAGTGGCTGATGGACTTGAACTGCTGACCTTTTGGTTGGCGGTCAAGCTCTTAACCACAGGGCCACCAGGGCTAGGGAGATGCAAATCAAAATCACAGTGAAGTACTTCCTCGTATCCAGGAGAATAGCTAAGACCAGAAGGTTGCCTGGCATGAAGAACATATCCCTCAATAGACCACTTGCTGGTGGAATACCCCATTGACATCAAATCAATTCCGACTCATAGCGAACCTGTAGGACAGAGTAGAACTGCCCCATAGGGTTTCCAAGGAGCAGCTGGTGGATTCGAACTGCCGACCTTTTGGTTAGCAGCTAAACTCTTAACCACTGTGCCACCAGGGCACTTGCTGGTGGAAGGGGCACAGAATTCCTTCTTTCATCAGCATCCACATCGGAAAAGTCCAAAAGAGGCAGATTTGCTTGTGGAACTTGTCCTACATTTTCATACATGTTTTCCATCAGGAATGCCTCCAACTCATACCTTTCCCATCTCCTCCTAGAACCCTACACCATCACCAGACACACACACACACACACCCCTCTCCACTTATCTCAAACAGCGCGTGTGTATCTTAACTGGCACCTTCAATGCCTTAGCTAAGGATGGGAATTTCAGGAATCCTAGCAGGACAATGGGAGAGACACTTTTGAGCAAGTTAAATCCACATACCGCAAACACACCTGCCTGTCTTACCTACCTTGAAGTAGCCTTGACTTTTATCAGAGGAATTTTTCATAAACGGTATCATTCCTATGGTGAGTTCCTTTGTCCACCAAGCGCAACCAATCACTGTATTTGGGCACCTTCAGTCCAGCAGCTTTT